CCGTCAACTAGTAATCTCTAGTTAAACTTTAAAACTTAAAAAATTGACTTTTCACCAAAAATTTAAACAGTTTTGCATAATTTCTTCAGAAGAAAATTCAATTTTTAATTTTTTTCGGATTAGAAACCAATTTGTTCGCACCTTCTTTCCCTTCGTTCTGTTAGCAATAAACCATATAGCGATTCTCTTCAGTCAGCTATTAAAAATTTTCCCTAATTGCATAATTTATGATTTTCTATTCATAAGCGAAGCATTCCACGCGTCAATCTCATACACGCATACACACTCGCGCATAAAATAGTAATTGCTTTCGATTTCTCTGTATAAGTATGTATGTCAGTATTTTTGCCATAGAAATTTCGCTTTTATTATTTATGTATAGAATAATTATAAATATCTACACATTTTTCCGTTGAAAATTTCTCTGACTAATTAAAAAAATACTCATACGCCTGTCAGACGTTGATAGCCACTGTAATTGATCAAATTAAAATTATTATTATTAAGTGGTGTTTCGCATAATAAACCATTTTTAGGACCGAGGGCGACATTAAATAACTGTACCTGTAAGAAAATTGTGTGAATTTTCAGAAGTTTTGTTTTGTTTTCTTCTTATTATCTTACTATGATTAAACTGTTTTTTTTTGCAGAAATTCTTAGAAATAAATTTTTTACCAAACATTTAGAAGAAAAAAATTATCCAATATCTCTTTATATTTTGCTCATATTTTGCTTCCAAAAAAAAACAATTTTTGAAATGTTGACAGTGCGTGTAATTGGTAAATAATTGCATGAATACCAACAATAAATCGATTCGTATGTATTCATGTCAAGCAAATGCAATCAGTCGGCTCAGCCGCACACAGATACAAAAGCTCCATAAAAAATTTTATTATTATAGCTGAATGTGGAAAAAATACGCACAGTCATCGCATGACACTACTTCAACGCCGCCGGGAAAACGCTCGGCAAGTTACAGCACCCAGCCAACAGTGCCTCTATTGCTCCAGTTTTCAAAACTAACAAATTCAGCACAATGTCGGCACGTTGCGCGAACGGCTGCGCCAGCAATAAAAAAAAACAAAGAGCATTGGCTATGAACGGTGCCACGACGGAAGCCGTGTAGCGCGTATAAAATGACGGCAAATGCCTGTTGGCGTTAATTAGAACAATGCCGGCGCTGGTAGTCAGGGGGCAGTTTGCTGTTATTTTATATTTTCCAATTTTTTTTTCTTGCACTTTGGCATATTTTTTACTTGCAAGCTCAATATAGGTATGTGCGTGTGTGCGCGCAAACTTTCTATTGATGAGCTCAAAAGGATAACGGCGAGATGGGTGCACGCGATATACGAAATTGGCACAAATGCATGCGTGTATAGGTGCACTCACTTGCATTGACAAATAGCGCAACTAAAGCGAAACTATGATCTGTCGCCCGTCGCGGAAGGCCTCGCATTTATGGGGCACAATGACATGCACTCGAATGGAAAAATTTAAAAAAAAATTTAAAAAAAAAACACAAAAAACAATATATGTATGTTAGGGCGGGTCAATTTGTATGGCAGCTTTGTTCGAGTATGCGCGTTTGCCACAGAAGGATTCTACGTGTAATTCCAAGCAAATTTGTCGAAGAAACTATGGGTCTAAAATCAATTTAAAGTTTGCAAAATTGCAAAAATTAGTGTCTTATCATTTTGCTATAGTGTCGTAAAGAAGTGCTTAAATTTTGTATAAAACATGCTACTTTTGTATAAGGAATCCATTGCTGTATTTATCTTTTTCTTAAAACTTCCAAAAAATTTTCATATTTTCTTCGAAGCCTATTCGAAATTGATTTAAGACCCATGGTTTCCTTGGCAAATTTACTTATAATTATACGTAGATTCATGCTATGCTATACGTGCATTGTAAAAAACAAAATTGACCCGCC